CAAAGTGACTAAAAGAGATTCACAGAGCAAGACGAGCCTTTGAACAAATCATTTTATGCAAGGAATATTCGCTTTAGTTTCCTCTGGCAATTTGACACATCTAAACAACCAAAATCTATGGATTAGTGAGACCAGCATTAGAATGATGCCACTGAAAAACAGAGGGACTCTTTTATTTTCCCAGAATCATTCCAGTTTAGTGCCACCCACATTCCTTTGGCTGTCACTAATACCACTGATGAATACAGAGTCTCTCTTTTTTTTCTAAGAATCTTTCCAATAAAGCTCCACACAGAATCTTCTGGGCTTCTCCTTGCAAAGATATTTTAATTCAAATGATCTGAATCAATCGCAGTAAAGCGGATATAATTGTGTTGGCTCTGGCTCTGTGGGATGAGCCAAAAAAATCCACAAATCTTTAGAGAAAAACAAAAATATCAAAGATAAAGTCTAACTTGTGGACATAAAAAGAAAATCTTAAATTCTTTGATGTTGTAGATCCATGGGAAAAGGTTGTTGTTGATGGTTTTGCAGATAGTCTAGCATCCTTGTGAAAACATCTCAGTGTGCACTTGTGTACTATCAGAGGGTACAATTTGTACAAAAATCTGATTTCTAAATGTATGCATTGTAGCCCAGAACGTCCCATAAATGCTAGATTAAAATTAAATTTAGAAACATTTAAATGGTTCATTGTAACACAGAGGATCAAAGGTTTCTCAGCAGTAAACTGATACAAACCTCTCAGCTTCACCAATCATTATTGGTTTAGCAAATATATCAGAATATTTATCTGGTCATTTCCATGTTATTATGTGTTACATTTTAAATCACGATAATAAGAAAACTGGAAAGGTTTGCTTTGTTTTAAAATGCTAACTGCCAAGCATGGTGGTGGAGGTGTCATAGTTTTGAACCAGAACCTTGCACTCATCGAGTCCATTTGAAGAACTATGACAAAATCTTAACATGACATGAGTTGTGAATTGGCGCTGTATGAATAGAGTGAATTGAATTAAGCGTCTGAAAACTATGGTGGCTAATAAACCAATGAGAAATTGCCTTCGAGTCAAAGAGTGGTAGCCTCCTGAGAACATCCTGATCTCGCGAGCTTTCAAGGTTTCACTCGCTAATCAGTCTGGAGAC